CGGACTGTCCGCCCTAAAGCCGGACATCTGGCCACCCTACCTGGAACCCTGTTTAGCTGTGAAACCACCCTTCATGTAGGAGTTAGCTTGAAATTCCATAGTAAATGATAGATGTGGGGCGTTAATTCAGTGTTTAGCCTTGTGTCTCTCCTAGATATAGCTATGGGCTCAGTTGTACAGTAACTGTGACTAACTCTATGCAAAATTGTTATGCTGCTATCGGCTCAGGCGACTGAAGGACATACATATCAATTTTTCTCACTCTGATTCGCTCTGCATGCAAGACCAGTTTGAGGGATTGCTGCAAAGTCAACCACACATTGCAGGTGAACATCTACTGTCGCCACATGCTCATCCAGGAGGAGAGAATCCTGCAAAGTCAATGACCGGATGCAATCAGTTAAGCTTCTTCAGGTGGAAAACTTTTAAGTCTGTCTGTCAGGTTCGACTGAATTGTCTCTGTAAAGTGCCCATAGAGTGAAAGAGCACTGTACAAAAAAAAAAAAAAAAACTGAATTCTGTAGGATTCTGACCCTCTGAATCAGATCACTATCTTGATAACTAGCTATCAGTGTTCTGATGAGACACATACTAAGGTGAGGATCTGACCTACCATTTTTCTGCACTAGAATGATTGTACAGACTGATCTGAGGCCATATGAATACAAACTGTCATACCTGCGTCACACGTTACAAACATTAAGTAAACAGATGAACAGAAGGTTTGTTGATTTTGTAAAGATAAACTTTCCCCTAACTGCCTGCAGCTTTATTTCTAGATATGCTTTTTTTTTGTTCCTGCTTCCCTATTATGGCAAAGATTTTCAAGCTAACTGAACATTTCTGAAATTGTATACTTTTAACCTTTAAATGGGTTAATAAATTACACGTTAACTTTTTTTCAATCTGACTAAAATATAAAGACTAGGGTGTATAAGATTATTTCTTCATTCATGAGAATCATATGAAAGACTGAACTTTATAAAAAGAGCGAGGATTAAGCTAAGGCTATGGCCACCCCTAGCCTATTAATGGTGTATGGCGCGGCCATATTGGCTTCACCTGTGTTCCTATGTGGACACAGTTCATCACTTTCAGGACAGCCAGTCCCCTGTAAATCAGAGTTGCAGCAGTGATACTATCAATTGAAATATCCTAATTTAACATTGAAGTTGTTTGCATTTATTTATAAAGCAAAAGAAAACAAACAGTAATTAGTTCTTCATATCAAAATACTTGGATTAAAGATGATAAATACACAATTATGGGTCTTTTCTGAAGTACATTTTGTGTTTTATAGATAAAAATTAAAGTTATCTGATCAACCCATATAATGGTTACATTATTAATTAAGACAGCTTAGATAAATTAATATATGTCAGATTTATTAGCAAGGGCTTCAAGTAAATCTAATTTGTCTTCAGGAATTTATAAAAAAATTACTTAAGTTGTGCATTATTTCCTTCTGGTACAATGGGACTAGTGTAGATAGACCCTGAACTGGTTTTGGTGCCCAATAGTTTCTGGCCAAACAGTGCATAGTGGTTCCTGCTTGGGTACCCCTACATAAATGTTCTGGTTTCTCATCAAACAGGCTTAAATCGGGCATAAATCCAGTTAAAACCTGTTTTGCGGTTGCTTTGATCCAGATGACAGAGAATTTACACAGGTGTCTTCTGGCTCTTTTTTCAGAGCAGAGAGACTCTGCAGGGTCAAAGCGATGCTCCGGCGGCCCTGCAAAATATAACAAAAGTATAAAGGCTTTGATTTCTTAATCAGTTTGTCCAGTTATGAAAGAAAGGAAACAAACACTGACACTACTGTTAGGTTTAAACACCCAAACACGTATTAAATAACCTGGGGAAGAAGGACAAGAGATGTTAGACTTTTTAGTCTCAAGGAAAGCAGCAGAGATGGCATCAGCTACAATGTCCCATTGCTCTGAAGCACCTCTGCTGTCTTCTTCGCTCTTTATTGGAAAAAGGAAGTCCATAGTTACAATAGATCATGCCAGAACCCTAAATTAATGTGGGGGGAGTAAATTTCACTGTGATACAGTGATACAAATACATTTCTTCATGCAGGCAGCGACCTTTAAGGAGAAGTTCGGTTTTTAACACTTTTAGCCCATTTTCTGTAGTGTCCAGGATGAAATCGAATGA